TTAGGGGCTCCATTGCTGTCAATGGGAAACCAGAGCTGTGGATTCAACCACTTTGGGCACCAAGTGGCACCAAGATCCTCAAAAAGGGCTCTTGTTCTGGGCTTCCTAGGTCCTTGTGTATCCAGCTCTTCCCTCCTAACACCAACCCTGTACTCCCGATCAGCCCACCCTGCTCCCTGCTCAGCATCCCGTGGAGGAAGTCCCTACTCCACTGTGGGCCTTGCCATCCCCTGCACCCACCCCTTAACTACTCTCCCCTCCCAGTATTCAAGTGAGTCTCCACGTGGACCGTCTCCCACGTTCCTCTCAGCTCTCCGACTCCTGTTATTAAAGCGATGTGCACCTATTTTCGTGCTTCATTCCTCCCCCATGATTTTATGCAGATTCTCCCCCGAGAGGTTGTCTTGCATTCAGCTCAGTCTCTGCCAGCCAGACTCAGCCCACTCCGGCATCTTGGAAGGGTGCTCAGTTAATTGACAGCAGCAAAAACTCAACCTGATGCGAATGATGATTGACAATAAAGTCCTCAAAATCTACAAGGCACAGGTGACATTCCAGAAAAATCTAACACTTGAACCCCCTAAAGAAAAATCCCATACCAGAGATTGCTGCACCCAACCGGGTGGTGGGGTGGTGGAGGTGGGGCATCATGTGGCAGAGGGGACACTCTGACACCAGATTTCCCTGGGTGGCTTGGCCATTGAGTCCAGAGTGAACTGATCTGGTCCCCTCCTCTCTCTCACCCACCATTTGACGGACATGAGCCACCAGCTGCATCTCCTAGAACACGCCCCCACCACCACCTTTCCTTTGAAGCAGAGCTTTTCCAGAAGGTTAAGAGGCTTTTCCTCCAGGAAGGAGGTACAAACCCCATTCAATCTTTCCCATCTCCGGGCTGGAATGCACCTCTTCGCTCAGGCACCAAGTTCACTCAGCTTTCACCTTTGGCTTTGCAGTGACAGAGCCAGCATGCATGTGTTTCCAAGGCAACGGGCTTTTATTTCCCAGGCATGACAGTCTCCTGGGGAACCTTTGACCCACTCAGAGAAAGTGAACGTGTAGCAAAACTCCAGTTTTATCAGACACAGTGGCTTCCTTCCAGTCAGCTTCCACCCATTGGTGATTCTGAGATGGAACCGGACTCCTGTATGCTGAGCCAGTTTCAAAGATGAAAATAAAGTCCAGCTTGGATTCTTTACGCCCTTGGGCTCATTTCTGGGCAGGCTGGGGGCGGAAGGCCTCAGCTCTGGGCTCAGGCTCAGGGCTGAATTCAGGGTCCTGTACTTGGCAGCTGTGGGCACGTCATTTAACATCAAGTTTTCTCATCAGTGAAATGAGAATGACGCAGGCCATCTTAGCCACCAAGCTCTGTGTACAGTTAGCCCACTGCACCTGTACCTTGCTGGTGGAGTCAGCCAACTGTAGAGAAAATTTTTGAAAGCACTTTTTACGTCTGTAAAAAATGTTTGAACATACACAGATGTTTTGCTTGTCGTTATCTCCCAAACAATTAGTGTAATGACTATTTACTAAAGTTCACAATGCATTAGGTATTACAAGTCATTCAGGAGTGATTTAATGTAGATGGAAGCAGGATGGAGTTTGGCACAGCAGTTAAAATGCTGCGTTCTTTATCTGGACAATAAGATGCTGGACTTTATGCTTGGTAGATGCTTGCAATGAAAGAATCTCAACTGAATTTGAATTGTGGTAATGCAACAAGGTGGAGGAATCCACCATGAAGGGAAGGGGGTTGGGAAGGGGTGGGGGTGGGGAAATCCCAGTGCCTATAAAATTGTCACATAATGCAATGTAATCAATTTTAAAAAATAAAACAAACAAACAAAAAATGCTGCGACCTATGCCAGAGTGCCTATGTGGAGTCCCAGATCCATTTCCCAACACAGCTTCCTTCCTGCAGGTCCTCCAGGCCAGCCCCAGGTGTTGCTGTGTGCAACAGTGACACAGTGTCCTCACAAGGTCTTGTCAAATGGCAGATCCACAGAACTGAGTATCATTAAAACGCCTGTGACTGCCAGCCACTAAAAAGTAGTGTCATGTCCCAATCAACAACATATAGCTGACAGAGGACAAGTAAGACCAAAATTACGACTACAAAGACTATAGAAACTGAAGAGTTAATGCCAGAAAACCATATGAATTTTACACAAAAACACTTAAGCTTACTTGGAATGGGCACATTCCTACAAATCAAACTTCACAAACCGTACAGAGAAAGAAAACAAGACTAATCACAATGATTTAAAAATTGAATCAGTAGCCTAAACTTGACCAAAAATCAATATCCCATGCTAGAGGGCAAGTTCTGCCCAACATTAAAAGAAAATCCACTTGTATTACAAACTATTCCAGAAAACAGAAAAACAGTAACAAGCCCCAAGTGATTTTATGTGACTGCAACGTTGGTCCCATATCGAGCGAGCACTATGGGGCAAGTACAGTTCAATGTCATTCATAGACAAAGAAAGAAATCCAAATAAATGTTAGCAAACTAAGTCCAGCAATTATATCTCTATACAAAAATGTCATATACATACACACCTCACAACTAATTTGGCTTTATCCCAGGAACACATAGTGCACCTGATAATAATACAGAACCTGCTAAGGCAACATGATAGATTTAGTGGGAGAGAACTAAGTGATTATTTTCACATAAGCTGAAAAGACCTTTGACAATATTTAATTATTGACTAAAACACTCAATAAGGCCTGGTGCAATGGCTCAGTGGCTCAAATCTCACATTGTATGTGCAAGGATCTCATATGGGCACCAGTTCATGTCCCAGCTGCTCCACTTACCATCAACTCCCCTGCTTATGGTCTGGGAAAGCAGTAGAGGATGCCCCAATTAGCTAATCCTCTGCCTGCAAGCACCAGCATCCCATATGGGACCAGTTAGTGTTCCAACTGCTCTACTTTCAATTCAGCTCGCTTCTTGTGGCCTGGGAAAGCAACAGAGGATTGTCCAAAGCCTTGGACCCCTACACCCACATGAAGACCCAGAAGAAGCTCCTGGCTCCTGGCTTCAGATCGGACTGGCTCAGCTCCAGCCACTGCAGCCATTGAGGGAGTGAATCAGGGGATAGAAGCTATTTGTCTCTCCTTCGCTCCGTATAAAATCTTCCTTTTCAATAAAAATAAGCCTTTAAAGCGTGTAAATTAGGAACAGGAAAAGGCCAACAATAGCTGATAAAATGTAAATTATAAAAATACACTATTTAAAAAGTTATTCTAAACTTGTTTCCAGACTTTTCCACTTTGTCATTTTGAACCTTGATGGAGTAGGGTAATGGAAGCCGTGGAAAGTGAAACAACAGATAATGGTCTGCGGTGTCCAGTCCAGGGGGTCAAATCCCAAGTGCATGGCAATCAGCTCAGTGTGGTCAGGAATGGGTTAACCACTACCTTTTTTGGTTAAACCTCTGCCTTTAACTCAGAAGCAAACTGAGAAAGCCAACCATGCGTCTCAAATCGGTGACTTGAAATGCCCTGCTTCTGGTTAGCTTAATCCCAGCCACCCCTTGCCAGCAACCTCCAACCAGAGCTGATCCAAGGCCTTCCTGATTTTCCCTGTAAAGTTTCCGCTCTCTGCCATCTGCCTTTGAATCTCACTGCCCAGAGGCCACAGCTTGCTGTCACCAGCTCTGAACACACAGCCTCTGCCTCTTCTCATCGGGGGAACTTTCATTTACCAGGGCCCTCCAAAAAGTTTATGGAATAGTTATATTTTGGAAAAAGCACCATTTCAATATTTTTTCATCAGAATAAGCTTACCTTTTAATCCCCTTTTCCATCCCATTTCTTTTTAAAATGCTCCCCTATTCCCATTAAATTGAGTTTTGCTTCATCAGAAGATTCCACAAGATAAGTTTTGCAGCAGGGGGAAAATATTTGCCATACACACAAGGAGAACTTCAAAAAGCTCATGGGAATGGAAATGAAGCGAAATGTTTTGGTGAAAAAATATGCATGGCTTTCCACACATATTAAGAGATATCTTCAAAAGTTCATAAAAAAAGCTATGTGGGCCATTAAAAAAGAAACTCCTAGACATCAATGAGGAAAAACAGACACTTCACAAGAGAAGAATCCGAGTGACTAACGAATATAAAAGTCAAACTTCCTTGGCCTCATTAACAGTCAGCAAAATGCAGCCCACATATGCAGCAGGCAAGGCCGGCATCATCACAACCACCATGCTCAACAGGTGATTGACATGTCCAAGGTGAGCGGCAGGTTGGACTCAGGACCTGGGCAGGCCAAACTCCACTTCTCCTCCTCTCCCCGTGGGCTGTCCAGGGAACACACCTTCTGGCTCGCAACCCAAGTCAACCGTCAGGAGTGGGTGGACATTCATCTTTCTGCCCCTTTTCAGCTTCAAAGATCCTGCTACCAAAACAAAGGCAGTGCTGGGGCGGAGGAGAAAGGGGACAGAGGGGGGAACTGAGGCAGAGGCCCAGCAGTCATCAGCATCAGCAGGAAGGTAAAGCTGGGGCTGGTAGCCCGTTTAGTACAATCAAGGGGCTAGTCATCACATGATGGCAATCTTTGCAGATTCATCAATGTTCCTTCCTCTGTCTTTGGAACCAACAGTCAAAAGCTTATAAATATTCATAGCAACAGCCAAATGTGTTTAGTGGTAGTCATATTTCTATGTGAAGGATGAGAAAGTTCAGGGTCCAGGGAGGTAGAAGAACTTGACCAAGGCCACACAGCACAAAGAACCAGAAGCTGGGTCTTGGGGACCCTGCCCTAAAGGTTTGCATCCCCACCAGAGTGCTGCTGCCCTCCCAAAGCCTGCCTCAACCCCAGCCCATCTGCGGGGCATCTTCTACCTGCCAGCACGAGGCAAACCAGCGCTGGGCTGTACACAGAAATGTCTCAGTTCACCCAGAGGACACCGTTCTCTGGAGAGCTCCTGGCCTCAACAGCACAGGCCGAGCCAGCTGCCATCTCTGAGCAGAAGTCACACTCACCTTGCCCCAGAAGCGGCAGCAGCCCGAGGAGGAAGATGCTGGGCCACACGGCCATGGCTGGATGCTGCAGGTGCCTCAGGCCTCTGAACCAAACGGCTGCGCAGATACTGGGTGAGCACACGTCTTCCTGCTTTTATGCAGCTCGGGGCTGATAGCGCACCTGTCATAAATCTCACCGGGTTCACCTTTGAAAGCAGGCCGTGGCTGACTGCAAATGATAAAGATTAACATTCAGGCAGAAGAATTCTTGAGCCAGATGCATCAATGATGGCTAACATATCCTGCTCATAGACCAAAAAAAAAAAAAAACAAAAAAAACCCCCAAAAAAACCCATTCATGACCTTTGACCTTCCCAGAAATTGCCAGCAGCTGTGAATTCTAGTCTGCTGGGGAGAGACCAGGTTTGGGAATCCCGCGTGCTGGGTTCCAATCCCAAACCCACCACAGCTGTGAGAACTTGGTCCTATCTATTAACTTGACCTCAGCTTTCTCAGCTGGGACCCAGGCGAGTTAAAGAAAAAAAAAAACATATAAAAAGTACTTTATAATATAATAACTTCAAGCCATAAATCCCCCTCCAAATGGGAGTTCTCTTTTTCTTAGTGTGAAATGTATGCCCACTGCATCTTAGGAGCACCGCTGGAGTCCTTGGTGGGCCTGACACGGACATTCCTGTTTCTATTCCCCACCCACGCACCTCCAAACCCACAGTGGCCACAAGAGTGGAGCTGGGGTACCCACCACAGGTTTCTCGTCTGTGGGTTGAATTGAGAGGTGCAAGCCCTTTGAGCAAATGGAGTCAGCTGTGTTGGATGGGGTCTCTACGTGGAGCAAACAGAGCTGGGATTTAAACCCTGGGAGGCAAAACAGCCTGCAGGTTAACATTTACATTTTCTCCTCAAATATCAAAAAGCCATTGCCTTCATTAATAAGAACATACTTCAAAAAAACTTCATGGATAATGGAAGTCTATTTTGATGCAAAAAAAATTTTTTTTTGAAATCTGCATATGTGAGGGGATTTTGAAATGTTCATGGAAGCTTATGTTACTAAGCTGATTGGATCCCAAATTCTCTTCTCATCACAACCTCCTTTTCAATGTGGTTTCCATGAACTTTTGGAAATAGCCTCCCCTCCTACATACCAGTCCTTGACTTTGGCCACCCTTTAGACAGCGAGGCTGAGGGGCTGGGGCCCATGTTCACTGTCTAGCCTCAGCTCTTGCTGATCTGGACAGCTTTCTCATATTTTTCAAATCACACAGGGCCAGCGTTTAGGCACAGCAGATAACTACTGCTTGTGGCATGGGCATCCCATATTGAGACTCAGCGGCTCTGCTTCTGATGCAGCTTCCTGCGGGTGAGCCTGGGAAGGAATCAGAAGATGGCCCAAGTGCTTGGGCCCCTACTACCCATGTGGGAGACCTGGATCCTGGATTTGGCCTCACCTAGCCCTGGCTGTTGTAGCCATTTGGGAATTGAACCAGTGCACAGCATTCTCTCTCTTGCCCACTCACTCTCACTCTCCCTTTCAATAAATAAACCTTTGTTTAAAATGAAAAAATAGGGGTCAGCATAGCAACACATCAGGCTAATTCTCTACAGTGCCAGCATTCCATATGGTTACAGGTTCATGTCCCAGTTGCTCCATTTCTGATCTAGCTCCCTGCTAATATGTCTGGGAAAACAGCAGAGGATGGCCCAGGTGCTTAGTCCCCTGAACCCATGTGGGAGGTCCAGAAAGAAGCTCCTGGCTCCTGGCTTCAGATTGGCTCAACTGTGGCCATTGTGGCCACTTGGGGACTGAACTAGTGCAGACATATTCTCTCTCTCTCTCTCTCTCTCTTTCCATCTCATTCACCCTTTCAAGTAAATAAAGATTTTTTAAGTTAAAAAATAAAAACCATAACTATAGCTTTGTGAGTTTGAATTTAAACTGAAGACTAAACAGGGTTTTGTTTCTGGTTCTCTGATTTTAGGGTATGGTCTTTTCTCTCTCAGTCTCAGAAAAAAATGTGATGTATGGAAGACACTGATTTAGCCGTGTCAAAGGCTTAGTCTCAGCCCGGGACTGCATGACGGTCTTAGGCTGTGCCTGAAGTGTATATGCACCAATACACCCAAGCCAGGGTCTGCAGGGACCACTGGGGCAGAGACGCCCCTGAGCACTGGGACACTCATCTTCACTGCCCACAAGCTCAGCGAGGACCCCAAGCTGCTGGTCCACTGCTGAGGATGGCAGGAGGCCACCACTCCACCTTGTGGTCCTGATAGCTTTGAGGAACCTCTTCAAACCTGAGCATGTGTCCACAGTTCCCTGCTCATGCTTAGCCCCGCTGCAGGTGCAGCAGGAAGCCTGCCGAACCCCAGGCAGAACCACCCAGGTCTACAGTCCACGTCTTCACTTTCATCTTTGACTGTGTCTCTGCACAACCATCACGGCCCACCAGGGCTGGCCCCCACTCCGTCCTCTGGTTTCTTTTACACATAGAAACATTGAGAAATCACTTAAAAATCTCTATTCTCAGGAATTTTGGCATAGGACCATGTGAATTTCCTTGTAGACCAAAGACGGGTGGGGGTGGGGGTGGGAACATAACCCTTCCTAAGCACTCTTACCAGGCACTGTGGTGTCCTTATGTATATCAGCTTGGATGCAGCCTACGATCTGTGCAGTCTCTGAGCAGCTGTGAAGAGAACGGAGAGAGTCACCATCTCACACTGAGACCAGCTCCACTACTTGACAATGCATTTTGTTCTCTACTTTTGCTATAACTTGTGCTGATGAGATGGGTCTTAGAGGAAAAGAGATGCTCCATTTCAGATTTTAGCAAGAATCAGCAGGTTTTTTTAGCAAGAATCAGCCTTTCCTTTTGGGAAAGGCTTAGAACCATAAAGTCCTATCTTTGTGTTGGTCACAAAGCATCTCTGTGGCTGAAAAGGCTGAGCATTTGCTCTTGTCCAAGTGTCCACAAGGGGGTGCTAGACCAAGCCTCGGGCCCTGGGTTCATGTGCGCTAAAGCACTCTGACTCAAGCATATAAATTCACATGTGCCCTCCATTCCTTTCTGGTATGAGCAAAGTAAGGATATTTTTGTTGTTGTTCCTTCCCTAGCATGGGCCAACCATTCCCTTTCCAAGGCTACCTTCTTCCTTTCCTTCTCAAATTTTTTGAATATATATTTGTTTTTAAGGATTAACATGTACTAACTTTGTAATGGAGAACAGAGCTTCCCCAATATTCACAATATTCCCCAATATTCATAGTCTTCCCAGTTTCTAGGCTGTAGTGTGGCTCCTCTGGTTCTTATGCTTTTTGTTATTGCCACAGTAGTAACAATCCAATTGTGATAGACAATGGCTGCCTTCTTTGGGCCACTGATGAACTCGTAAGGTGCCCAATAAGGTACTAATCCCACCCCAACCTGGGGAGACCAGAGAAGGTCTGCAAGGCTGGTGACATTAAGCATGAAGAAAGGCTGTACCGCATGCAGTAAGTGACTGATTGCTGCAATCGCGCTGCGGCTATGTGCAGCAATGTGATATGTATATATTAACGCGTTACAGTTAAGAAAATATGGAGGGACAGGCATTTAGTGTCATGGGTAAGACGCAGCTTGGAACATCTGTATCCCATATGTGAGTAACTGAATTTGAGTTCTGGCTCTACTTCTCATCCCAGCTTTCTGCCATTGCTCACCCTGGGAGGCAGCAGGTGGCGGCTCAAGGACTTGGGTCCCTGCCACCCACACCGGAGACCTAGATGGAATCCTGGGCTCCTAGCTTCAGCCTGGCCCAATTTCCTCTATTAGAACATTTGAGAAGTGAACCAGCAGAGTAGAAGAGTTCTCTCTTTTTCTAGGTCTGTTTCTCTGCCTTTCAAATATGATTTTTTTTTTAAATTAAAAGTTACCACTGGAGAGAATAGCAAATCCACAAAGAAATCCATACACCTTGAGAAATATACAACAAGGATTTATTTTTTCTTCTGGTTAGAGATACAACTAAAACTGAGTCCCTAGCCCTAGGGAATTAGCTAGAAGCAATGCCCTGGGAAGAAGAGTACATCAGGCCAAGCTGTTTAACGTTCGTGAGCAAGGAGTAAGTCAAGTCACCCTCTTCTTTCCACAAGCAAAACAATCCCAGGCACCTGGGTGGACTCCGACAATGCAACAGGAAGTACGCACCAGTAACCTGTCACCTAGGCAGGTGCCTATTGGTACTGATTTCATGGGAGAGCAGGTATGTGTCAGCACTGTGGGAAGGGTGGAGCCAGAGGACTGCCTTTCTCAGAACCATCTGCACTGGTGTCAGCAGCACCCCAGGAATAGCTCGCTGTAAGTTTCAGCTTCTCCCAGGTACCTGCTACTCCCTACCTATTATTGCTCTGCAGGTAAACAGTTCACTGTTCCTGATAGGCTTCCTGTGGGAAGGGCTGGGCCTTTTACTTCCTGCTCCCCCCCGCAGCTTCTATGCACTGCATTGACCATTGGCCCAGCAAATCTCCATGTCTTTGGTTGAGTGCTCCATCTGGGGTACAGAGGCAACTAGATGCCCTGTGCTCTCCACAGCCTGTTCTAGCCCCTGCCAACCTGGCAGGTCATCCAGCGGCCAGAGCTATTACCACTGGATTTCCAATTCCAGACCTGGGCACATTCGGGGGCAAATCATGCAAGGTGCAAGTCATGGACCGCCTTAGCTCCCTCGGGCAGAGACTTCATGCAGGACACTGAAGACACCAAGAGCTTGATTAAGAAGTGAAGAAGCAAGAGCCAACACGAACAAAAGTCCATACATGTAATTTCTAAGGGGAAAATACACTTTACATCACCATCTTATCACTTAAGTGAAATACTGACAGCACATCCCGGTAGAGTTAACGTTTACTCCATGGTCTGCTTTATCTATTGTTAGAGCCCCAGGAGTGAGCCAGCACAGGCAGTCATTAAGCAGCAGATGAAGAAAGAAGTGCATGGACGTCAGAATAAAGAGACCAGGACTGCTATGAAAAACTCAGCTTAACAGAAAAGAACAGAAAACACTAAAAGAACACAA